ATTAATTGGAATTGAATGAAAGTATTTAAGCTTTAAATTATCTGAGAGTTGGCTTTGTTTATTTCCTGTGCTTATATGCGTAAAAAGGTCTGTCCTGGGTTGTAAGATACGTGTGTGTTCTATTTCCCATCTGTTAGAGGTGAGGCAGTTATCTTCTGTTAATTGGGCAGTTTTCTTTATTTCTTCCACAACCAATCCTTTCTCTGGGGAGATATCTTCTGTTACTGGCCCATTGAGTCTCACTGCATGACTGATAAAATTAATTCATCCCATTGTGGGAAGCTCCGTCCAGGGGGAGGAGCCAAGCATTCCGACCTGGATAGAATCTGAGATTTAGAACACCAGAAGCAGCCTTTTTCCACTGGATTCCAAGAGGAGCAGCTGTCTTCTCCACTGGATTCCCAGAGGAAGGCCAGGCCCATCTACACCACCACTGGACCTTCAGAGGAAAACTACACCCTTCTACAGGATCACTGCTTCAACAGAACTATACCTGTCACTCCTGGAGGACTGCAGCCACCATTTAATTGGACTGCTACCAATACCCTGACCCACAGGGTGTCAGGTCGTATTCTGACTCTGTCAGTGTTTTTTGTTTGTTTTTTTTTGTTTGTACTATTGCAGTTGTATTTTTAATTTTCCTAGTAAAAACCTGTTATTCCTACTCCCATATCTTTGCCTGAGAGACTCTTAATTTCAAAATTATAATAATTCAGAGGGAGGGGGGTTTGCATTTTCCATTTCAAGGAAGGCTCCTGCCTTCCTTAGCAGACACTTTTCTTTTCAAACCAAGACAAGGTCTGATCATGAAAAGTTTACAAACTGTAGTGGCTTAATATCTTATAACTCATCTTCACCAAATGGCTGTCATAAGTCCATACGACTTCTAGTTCAGTGCCTTCAGCTCTTAGATAGCTGTAAGAGATGGAGAGATGCTGGTGAGTTCCTGTGTGAGCTACAGAAGTGCCCATAAGACAGCCAGGGTGGTTGTAGTGTCAGTTAAGTAGGCAGCACTGTTTCTGAAAAGGAACATTGCAGAGAACCTGAGAAAACAGCTCTCTTATCTGCTGAGAGTCAGATGTCAAGGGTTGTGCAATTTTGGAGCACTGTTTTGCAAGATCAGGTGAATCTCCAATGCTCTCCCTTGCTCCAGGCCCATGGCTGCTGTCAGGCAAAATACTCACCTTGCTGTCCTTCTGGACCCTGACTGATCGCATTAAGTCAACTATCCAAGGTGCATAGCTTTCTTTTGTGAAGTTGAATAACAAAAGGAGTTGATGGGGGCTCACTGCCCCAGCATGTTGGCAGTTCTGTCTCTTAACAGCCCGTGCCTCATGGCACTCATTTCTGCTTCAATATTTCCAAATATCAGCAATAGCAAGGTACATTTGTGCCTATCTGTGCTGGACCAGACAACACAAGACCTTCTCAAATGAATACTGCTGTACTGAGATAGGCTTACTACTTTGAAGTTACATTGCAGTTGTCCTGATCTGCTAACGAGTTATTAGTGAATAAGTCAATGTTTGATTACTTTCAGGATATTTGAGATAAATGTTCTTAATCTGAAAAGCATGATTAATTTACTACTGTTATGCACAAGCAATTTAAAATGTGGCTTTTTTGGTGAGCATTACTTTATTGACCATGGTAGAACAATAGATAAACATTTGTTGGAAAGAGGAGGTTTATTTATATAGAACAGCATGAACCAGCAGAGGAAACACAGAATGCATTTCCTTTGAGTAACAGAAATGGATAGGTAAAGTGGGAAAAATTGTTAAAATCTTAGAAAAACATGGCACATCCTTTCCCAGATAGGGGTGGTTAGATGTTTAATGGCTTCTGCATACTGATGTGTTCTATGTGTGCCTGGGAAATAAAATAATTTCTGATGGAATAATCTAGCACAGACGTTTTTACGGAATTGCCTTTTCAAATAAGTGCAGTTTCGGTGCATCAATGAAAGGAGAATAATATTTCTAAGCAATGTCTGATTAAGTATCCATCTGTGTCAGTAAGCATCACAACATTTTTCAGTGCTGTGTTCTCATTTAAGTAAAAAACTGGTCTTTCTCTAGCATCACCTCAAGATTACTTTTTCTAGTACTGTTACTAGAAAAGTGAGTGGCAAGAAAACAATGTGATTTTTTCAGTATAGCCTCTTCCTCTCTCTGATCTATAAATTTCTCAAGTAGAACTAAATAAGGACATTAGTTTTTCTTTCTTCGAGACAAGGCTTTCCCTGGCATAAACATTTTCCCCTGAACTTTGTTCTTTCCTGCATCAAACTCTGAGTCACAGTAGACTTTTTTCCACTGAGATAAAGACAAAGTTGTATTTTATTTACATACTAATACTCACTCACATTTTTGATGTCTAAATAGCCAGCTCAGGGGACTTAAAGAGTACAAACCTCACCAGAGCAAGTATTTTTCCATGTATACAGAAACACGGGTTGATGTTTACCAGATGTAGTGTTGTGAGTTTACTAGTCCCTGTGCTGCCATCTCACTGAAAATATAATTCACTGATCACTGTATGAGGGATCAAACCAGCATGGTTTGAGTAGTGTTAAAAACGCCAATCACTTGTTTTAAAATTTTTTAAGTTGAATAGTAATAAAATGGTTATAAAATAGTAATACAAATTAGAGCAAGAAGAATTTGGACAATCAGAGTTAGGACAATAAAAAAGCAAAGAATTGCGAATGTTCGGATGCTTTCCTCTGGAAAGCATGGGTCGCTAACCAAGGATTAACTCTTAAAAGCAATAGCCTGTTGCATATTCATATATCTCATACATGATTCAAAAATTCTTTTCAAACAAAGGGTGTTTTCTGGTTATTGTCAGCTTCCCCCCTCATCTTGTAAATCAGTCATCTTTGTCCCCACCAAGTCTGGTTCTTCCCAACAAGGAGGCAATAATTCTTCTCTTTGGGATTTTAGTGTCTTGTTGCTGTTATTTCTGTGTGAAGAATTTCTTGAGCTAGTTAGAAAAAGTATCTTACATTGCATAGTTTCTATTTTAATATTATGTTATAACCTATAACTTTATTTAACACACTACTGAAATGGATTAATACAGTATAACTTTCTAACATAACACATATAATATTCATTTTAATATTTAGGAAAAGCCAATCATCTAATATGCATTTTCCACAAGCAGTTAAAGTTCCTATTTAATGATGAAAAAAATCTTATAAAAACATTGTAATTAGACTGTTAGCAAGGTGGCAACATGTAGATGAAACATTTTTTTTTTTCTGCCTCATAGGCCAGAGAGATGGAAAAGCAAGTACAGGTGTTCTTATAGTCCCTTTGGAAGCTGCTATGTAGATGATATTTCCAAGTAGGATATTTGTGGAAAGTCTCTAGTTCATTTTGGCTGCCCTTTCAATTCTTGTCAAGCTCTCTTCTTTGTTCTCTGGGCTAAAAGGCTGAATAGTGCAGAAGCTGTTCTGCACTTATTAGTATGACTATTTAAATATATTCATTTTGGCCAGACTGGTACTCTTTTGATATAAGTTTGAGCAACCAAATTTTTCCTTGCATGTACATTTAAAAATTCTTAGAAAAGCTGGGAGTTGCTCTAGTAGGTACAATACAAATCCCACTGTGTATAACACTTGGTTAGTCATTCAGTCATCAAATCTGTGTTTTACTTACCCATGTAATAGAAGAATTATTTGATAATGAAGATTTGTGGGTGAAATAGATAGAAATAGTGATTTTATTACAGTATAGGGATGTATTTGTGTCTCAACATGTGTACTCATTTGGGTTTGTTGATGTTGTGCTGTGACCTTGGAAATAAATTGGTACCTACATTAAATTGCACTTTCTGAAAATTCTTATTTTAAGTTGCTTTTAAGAGAGTTTTACTCAGTATTAACAAACATTTTTCCTTTATATGTATGTTCTTGTATTTTCCGGTATGTATTTTATTCTTCTTTTTTTTTTTTTTGGAAGTAAAATGCTTTGCTGTGTGTTTGGGGTTTTTCTTTCTCATTTAGCAGATCTGAACTTATCTTTCTTTTGTTGTCTGAGATTAACTAACCTTTCTTTCCTTAACACTGGTATTTCTCTCCCATAAGTATTTTCATCATTCTCTTGCACCATACAGCATTTCATTCATTAGCCCAAAGGAAGCATGAACTCTCTTTTAATTTTCTTTAAAAATGAAGTTTCAAAGTGGGTTGGGGTGGGCAGGACAACACTGAGCTTTTCACGGTACCTTTTAGAATCGTGTAAGTAGCCTCATATTGTGCTGCAGATGGAGGGGGGGAAACAGCATGCAATTACAAACATACAGTTACAGGAAGCTTGGGATGGATCAGGAATCTGATGAAGGATTGTCCAGGTACTGAAAAATCTTTCTGAGCCATCCATGCTTTCTCAGGCTCTTCAAGTACTAATTGCCCTTGTCTGCAAAAATGCATTTTTAAAAGCAGTAAATTAAAAATTCTACTGATTTTTCTCATCTACACTTTTTAAAGTGCTGTAAATTTATGATTTCTATACTTCTAAACACATAATTTATTTGTTCCATACCATTCATCTGTAAGCAAATGTGTTGAATGAAAGATCTTTATTATATGTTGAATTACAAGTGGAGAGGGACTACGGCAAGGGGGAATGGCTTCAAACTGACAGAGAGCAGGTTTAGATTAGATATTGGGAAGAAAGTTTTGACTGAGAGTGGTGAGGCACTTGGAACAGGTTGCCCAAGGAAGTCATTGATGTCCCATCTCTGGAAGTATTCAAGGCCAGGATGGGATTTTGAGCAACTTGGTCTAGTGGAAGGTATCTCTGCCCATGGCAGGGGGTTTAGAATGAGATGATCTTGAAGGTCCCTTCCAACCCAAACCGTTCTAGGATTCTATGAACATACTGTCTGTAACTGAAAGCAATGTCTTGTTTAGGTAATACTGTGAAGAGCAGGACTGAGTTATTTAGGTAAATTATTCTTCCTCTTCTGTTCTTGTTTAGGCTGCTGTATTGCTGAAGACCTTATCTAGTTCGCCCAATCTTCCAGACCATGTGCTCCATGCTTTGAGACTAGGAGGACCTTAGTGTTCTGAAATGAAGATGGAGACAGTGGGAAAAGCAGAACTTGTTGATTCAGTTCCACCAAAGACTTGTGAAAAGCAAGAAACTGCTCCTGATGAACATGGACCTATAGAACTTGAGACACAAACTCAGAAAGACAACATGCGTGCTGCAGCAGACTCAGTGGTGCTTTCTTCAATGCCTTGCTTACTGATGGAACTGAGGCGAGACTCTTCAGAGTCTCAGTTGGCATTTACAGAGAGCGATAGGCCAATGGGTGGTCGAGTTTATGAGAGTGACTCTTCTAATCACTGCATGCTTTCCCCTTCCTCCAGCGGGCATTTGGCTGACTCAGACACGTTGTCTTCTGCAGAAGAGAATGAGCCCTGTCAAGCTGAAGGTACTGTAGAGGGAGACCTTTCTGCGGTGTCTGGGGCTGCAGTTGGGAGGAAATCTAGGAGATCCAGGTCTGAAAGTGAAACTTCAACAATGGCTGCCAAGAAAAACCGACAGTCTAGTGATAAGCAGAATGGTCGAGCTGCCAAGGTAAAAGGTCATAGAAGTCAAAAGCACAAAGAAAGAATCCGTCTCTTGAGACAGAAGCGGGAGGCAGCTGCTCGCAAGAAGTACAACCTGCTTCAGGACAGCAGTACCAGCGACAGTGACCTGACGTGTGACTCAAGCACAAGCTCATCAGATGACGATGAAGAGGTTTCAGGGACCAGCAAGACAATCACTGCAGAGATACCAGGTAGAGGATGTTTTTTAAACTGAACTGTAACACATCTGACATCATTTTTCAGCTGTCATGCTAAATTAGATGAGTCACACTTGAGAAAAAACAGGAGAACTGCAGCTCTGTGTAAATTTGAAGACTGCAGTGTTTTAAGACATGGGCAAATGTCCTGAGGTTTCAGATCACTTTTGCACACCAACAAAGCATAGAAATGGTAAATTGGAGGAAGGACTATCTTTGAATTCTGGAATTTTTAGATATTTTCATTTATAAGCCTAGATAAGCTCTTGTTAGTGCTGTCAAATCCCATTAGATGGTGATAATCTAATAAATGCATTCTGAAGATAAATAGCCAGCTTTGCTTTAATATCTCAAGACCACAGATTGGCAGCTGTGTTAAAAATAATACAGCATACCTCTTGCCTGTATTACAGTAAGGCCCTGTTCATTACTGCACTGTCCTTTCAGCTCTATGTTTCAGTGCATGACAAACCTGCTTAGCCTTATTGTAAGTTCTTGCAGATTGCAGCTGGTCACCTATTTTAGGATATAAATATGAATTTGTTTACTCAGGTGCCCAAGCTATATCCACACCTAAATTTTCAGCATCTTAGACCAAGCTGTTACCATTTTCCTATGTCCTAAGGATCTATAATTTCTATATTTTTAATTTTCTGACACATCTGTGTTAAGATTATAGGCAGCAAATTATAGGGGCCTTCTCATCATTTTATTAGCAAAAGAAACATTAATTCAAGTTTTTTGTCTACTGAGTCTTTGTTAGCAGCTCAAGTGCTGTGGCCAGGATTTTGTGTGAAAAACTATTTCAGCATATTATACCACAGAACCATCATCATACGGCAATCAAAAATAAAATTACATAAAAAGAAACTTTTTGGCTTGCCAATTTTTACTAGATTACATGCTTTTATGCCTCTTGTGTTAGAAGTTGGGTGTTGCGGCTTTTTTTGAGATAAATATCAGCTTGCATAGGGCAAGAAGATTTAAAGGAAAACTGCAATAATTAGTCTTGAGTTGCTGAACTAATGCTTGCTAGATGAATTAAAATATTTGCAGCAGAATTTGCAAATAACTGTTTTAACTGACTTGGTTATGGTGAATAATTCTGTCATCATGAGAACTGGGATTTTTCCCACATATTGCTCGGAAGCAGGTTGCAAAAAGTAAATGTTTATTATTAGAAAGTCTGTGAAAGGCATAGTCTATAATTATTGTGTAGTAAACTCTTAATAGAGATCTAAAAATATTTGCCAATTTAATAGTTACTCAGACTTCTAGCTTTTATAATTTTATGCCTTTTTCTTTGCTATATTTATACTTTGCTGGGCAATTAAAGCCTCATTTAAAGCCTGTTGAAGAAGACTACTTCATTGAGTTTTGGGACAGGTTTTTCCCCACCTCACAAACCCCACCAAACTTACACAATAAGTCCCCCAGGTTATATTCTTTTTTTTTTTAAGTCATTAAAGGATCTTGTGACCCCGGAAGGCACCACAGGGTATTTTCACATCTGCTTAGATTTCTGACTTCCATTGCAGAGACCTGAAACCACTCTAGTGTCACTAGGCTCTTCTGTATTTGAGTTCTTGGTCTTAACCATGAGATGTTTGCAGTGAAGAGTTCCCATTGCAGTACACAGAAAAACTTGATTATTTAATGATGATTATACTAAGGCCCAGTTTTGCCTGTGATGCAAGATATGAGAGTGCACAAACAATCCTGAGGAACAATGATGCTTATTCATAGCACATATCATTTGCTTTATGCTAAATTCCACTTATGACATTCAAATGTTCGAGCTGCCCTTTTGCTGCAATTAGGTGCAATATGTACCTGCCACATTGTGGTTTTCCTTTAAATAGAAATGACTTTGGTTTGTGGGAAATGTTTTCCAAGTGCAAGTGAAAAACATTCTCTATAGACATAAGGACAAGGTTGGCCAAAAATGCATCCTATGCTACTTGTGGTTAATGAAATATTGCAGTCTTAACAGATGCAGTGGAGTTGTGAGTGTGAGTAGGACTTAGAGCTCTCCATTGCAGTGGTAGTTTCACATGCCATTTGCAATCCCTCTTATTGGAACTGGCAAAGTACTTAAATTCTTTTTCTTGACTACAAAGCTGCTTTAGTGCACTTGGTATTACACTGTGAATTGCTTAAAAATTTAGGGAATGAACACATAGAAATTATTATAAGATATCAAAAAACATTACTGGAAATTCAGTGCATGAGTGTCCTCTGCACGCAAGTTTAAAGAGGTTTAACTTGATGCTTGAACTTGAGTATCAGGACATAAGCATGAAAAACCTTTTGCAGTTACTTTTGAAAAAGTCTGTATGGATTGATGCAGAAGAGTCTTACAGGTAGTCTGTGTTCCCCTCAGTTTTAGTGTATTTGGACATTTCAGCTGTAGTGCTGGTTACTGTCTCAACATCGCTTATTATTTGGACTGATTTTCAACCACTCTGAAAAATAGCTTTGCCAACAGAGATGCTCTAAAAATTTTAGTGACAGTTAATGTGGCCTTCATGTATGAAGGTTATGCATACTCTGGCTCTTAACCTTCTCTCAGTGTATGTATTGTAACAGCCAACAGTTTGCTTGTGTGTGGTCTGAAAAATGAAGTGCCACATTTGAGAATACAGTAGTCTTTCATGTTATGTAACTAAATTTTGTCCATTTAAATAGCATGGGTTTGGCTAAACTAGTAAGGTAAGGAAAATGTTTAGTGAATACATAATGCCATTAAGTTACAAACAGAGCAGTTATGCTGTAGAGAGTCAGTTCTCTCCGCTGAAATCAAATGTCCTGTACATTAAAATACTGTCAGGCTTGGTTTTCTTCTCAAGAAAGATTGAAGAGTAAAGAGTTGAGATCTTACTGGTGATGCTTCAATACAAGTATTGTGAGGTCCATAGGACCTAAGCACAATATAAGTAAGTTATTTTATTCTGAATGCTTTCTGTGGTGTTAATTTACACCTGAAAATACAGGTTCAATCTAAACTTCAATGATGCTACTGAAAATCTTCTCACTGAACTGAGCAGTCATAATCTCAGACTCTTTAATTCAAGGGAATGCAAGGATGTTTGAGTTACTGCAGATGAAGAGCAATTTCTTATCTTTTAATGACTGAGCCTCTCTGTTGGCATATAAGATTTTGCCATTCTTAAACACTAGATAGCATTCACAGCCTAAGAGGATGATCTTTAAATCCTTGAATAGGTTCTGCTAGATCTGCTGCTGTTGAAAGTTTTTCCTTTAAACAATTTTGAATTTGACCATACAAATTAACTCTGAATGAAATTGGCATGAGAGCAAGTTGGGGAATCAATATTTATTTCTGTGCAAACACTTTTTTTTGAAAGAACAAAAAGGTTTTTAAAAATTCAAGTATAATAGAAAGATATTGGCATTTCACCATTATTGTGCTTTTTACAGCTCAGAAAACTCTGAAGTGAAATAAGGGTGACTCATGTTTCAGGCTTTCAGAAGAATCTGTTGAAAAGTTTGAGTGTTGACGTTGAAAATGTGTTGCAGCTCACTTTGTTAAAAAAAAAAAAGGAAAAAAAAATTTTTTTTTAATATTAAGAAATCCAAAGGGGAGGGCACAGTGTGTATGTATGAGGGACTCTCAAGCAGGTTACTTACTCTCAAGAACTGTACATAGACCTTGGAAAAAGCATCTTGCAAGGGATAAATTTGGTTCAAGTAACTCAGGATGACGCTTATAAGAACAGGGAGGAAAAAAGAATCCATTAAGGAGGATTTGCTGTAAGATACTCATTTGCAAATGTCAGTAAGCATAACAACATGGAGGAATACACCATTGCTAGTTAGAATGAAGATGTAACATATCTCCTTAAATTGTTGTCTTGTCAGAATTCCTATATTAAATAACTGTAGATTTGGTTATTATTTAGATGATACTTAATAGATCACATAGTGTCGATGCATTTCTTAAGTGCTATTTTGCAGGAGGTAGTGTTTTGCGGAGATAAACAAAACTCCACAACTTTTGTGAAAGTTGTAAAGCCGGTATGTTTATTACAGCTCTGGATGCTTGTGGGAATCGTTCCCCTAAAATGCAATGGCATGCGTACCTCTGGGAACTCTAGATCCCTTTTTATCCTTTGCTCGAATCCATACACATGCAATTTCACAATAGGTTTATACATATTCACTTTTACAAATTTCACGTGACATTTGCCCTTAGTTCTTCTTTATCAGAAAGAATTCCTAGGTCAGGTTGGCCTGCTCTCACAGCAGTTTCTCTGTCTCTCTCTGTCTCCCTCCCCTTATCTCTGTCCTTCACTGAAGCAGTTTCTCTGATCCTAGACTTTTTACGAGAACAGGCAGTCAGACTAAATAGCTATGTTTTCAAACTACATACTTAACTCAAAGATGTACATTTCACCTAAATCAAAATGGATTTCTACTCTGGAGAATTTTTACTCTGTCTCAGTAGTTTTGAAAATAAGCTACGACTCTTGGCTTCTGACCCCTTTTGTAATTGCAAATTTCTCTGTGTTTTAACTTGGCATAATTTAAAAAAAAACTATAGAGTTGTAAGTTTACAGATAGCAAAGAGACCAATTAGATAAATGCTAATAGTTTTAATATAAAATGCATTTTTATTAGGCTTGATTTTTTTTTAATGCTGAAAGCCACAAATAAAGAAAAGATTGAATAAGGCTTGTTATAAGACCTGCAAGGGGAGCATTTGAAACACTGATTTGCTGCTACTGTATATTGTAGATGTACTATGAATGATGCCTTTTGAAAATAGTATTGTAGGGTACTATATATTTCAATACCTAGTTTCTTAAGTTTGCAAAACATTTTTATCAACTTTGACCATGATAGTTCATTCTTAACTTTAAAAACCTGGCTAGGTTGTCTCACATGCCATCATCAATAGTTTTTATTTAAATTGCAATTAAAACTTACTCAATGTTACTCAGAGGTGTCTGTTCATAAGCCTGTGGAAATCA